CTGTTAATATATTTTCCTCCTCAGCATCTCAGAGCCCTCTGCTGCATGATGTCCTTCCTCTGTGGGGCTCGCTCACGCCTTGTTTACCTGCCCAGAGAGCTGCCTGAGTGCCAGAGCTGTGCTTGCTGGATTGGAACAGACACTGCTCTTTGTGCTCCCGAGATAAGGGGTTGCAACAGTCAAGCTGGTTTTGTGCATCTCAACCACAAAATATGATCTTAATAATTACTGTGAATCAACTAAAATAGCAACTCATATCTTCTTCCCAATAGCCATACATTTAAAAGGTGCTTTTAATTTAGTGCTTTTTCATCTTGCTTCACGTGTTTGAGAGTATTTCTTCCAACAAACTCACAAAACCTCCTTCCAGCAACAAAGCACAAGCTGTAAATTGTCCTCTACCTCAGTTTTCTTTCAAAGCTCTGACAAAGGATTGTTCTTGCCCTTTTCATATTATGCCCACATAAATCAAAGCCCAGTAAAGGACAAGTCAAGTAATCTGAGCAAACAGCCTACACTAAATATATGACTGGATTGTTGCATGTCATGCTTCCCGTTAGTCACAGATAGAAACTAGAAACTTCTGACGAGGTTGACAAAGAAGCTGAGAGTAGAGCCATTGCATCATGGATATACTCAATAAGCCTGTTAACCTAGGACTCCATCATGCAGAGCTGATAGAGCACTGTCTGAATTTCTTTCCTCTGCTTTTTTTACAGCCAATGCCCCTTCATGCAGGAACAACACTTGTGAGCTGCGCAGTGCCCTCTAATTATGGTGGTTCAGTGATGGAACTGACTCCATCTGTCCAGATGTGTTTTCATGCTTTTCTCAGATATAGTCAGCCCTGTTCCTATCTATGTGCCAACCCAATTTTATATTCTGAAACAGGACTGACAGGGGAAGACAAGCGACTCCATCTCCCTCCTGTTACACTGAACATCGTTGGCTGATATAAATTGGCAACAACTCCACTAAATTCAGGACAGCTACATCAGCTTTATTTTGTTTGATGGTCTGCCATCTGATGATCTGTGCAACTCAGCTGATGGCCACACAGGGACTTTTTTCCCAGCTGCACTGCTGAGAAAATGACCTTGTTGCTAATGGGAAAGTCGTGAGTCTTATGATACAGTCAGAGATTCAGAAGTGAGGACACACACATAGTAAAAGACAAGGTGCCCAGCCCACTAGGGTTGTAATAACCCAATGTCAGTAATGAAGATGCAAAGTCTGTTTCACAAGCCCCTCATTGGTGGTGCTGCCACAAGGAGATGGTAGAGCCCATCTGCAGCTGTGCCATCCTGCCTGTGCTACAGAAAACCCACTTACCACTAAAGAATTAAATTAAATTAAATGCTTTGCAGTCTTGAGGAAATTATTAAAAGCACATAATATAGACTTATAGATGTTTAATATTTTGAAATAAAAAGTTTTCTACTATTTACACTGGCAAATTGATAGATATTTATATTATAACTGAATATAAGAGGGTAGAAGTAGTATCTATCACTAAGAACACAGAACTGACCTGCAAAATCCATGTGTAAGTCAACTAGCTGGGAATAAAGCCTGTGGCAGTGAGACAATAGCACTACTGCCATGTTTAGAGAACACCAGCCAAACACACAGAACCACAGAACTGTGAGACCTGGACCCCACCATTGCTATCCACAGCAAGAAAAATGTCATGCTATTCAACACCCATAGTCCCACTCAGGTATTCGAAGGCACAGATGTTGCTACAGAGCCATTTTCATGGGGACCTTCAGAATTCCTGATATTCATTGCCAAATGCTCCCTGCCATCTGCTATGAGGCAACTCAGCCTGCTCTGAAGGAATAAACTGAAGCTGTTTCAAAAGACAAGAGTTGCTCAATGTCTCTATAATTTGTTCATCTGCAGACTTTGCAGGGCTTCTTTGACAGTGATTCAATGGTAGCAAAATCCCATGGAGGAAAACCAAAAGGAATGAGGTTGATGAGCTAAAGCAGTACCTCAAACAAGTCATCTGTCATTCATAATGGAGAGCAATCAGCTAGGAGAGGAATGATAGTATACATAAGGTCTAAAATTGAAACCACAAAGTGATGTTTGAGAGGAACGAAGATGAAGGCAGCAAAACAAAATTACCGGGAAGCATTTGCATTTAAACCCGGTATGTTTGAGAGCAGAATCATCTATTGTAAATTTCAATTAAAGCTGTTCCTTATATACAAAAGTTTCTCTACATAGAAAAGTAAGATGGAGGCAAACTAGAACTTGCCCTCCAACTGACAGGGTAAGGCCAGTACAGCTCTCTGATTAACCCATTTGTTATTATTATTCAGTTTATCCTAACCTACTCTAGCAAGGGTTTAAATGAAGCAAGAAAGCCACTGTAATTTTGGAATTAAAAGAGCCCCACTGGGACTCAATCTGGTATGCCAATTTACTATTCCAGTTAAATGGCCACTCTTTTAAACAAGTAATAGCAAGCCCTACACAAATGCAATTGCCTCATGACCCATTAATGACAGCAACAATATTGCTGTCTGCTGTTGTTAATGGCAAGTACAGTACTGGTCTGACAGACAGGCATGTTTTCTGCACCACAGCAATAGCCAGCTTTATAATCTAATAACATACAAGAATTAAAGCTAACATTTTAAATATCTTCTTGGTGCCCCACAGTATTTGGTAACTGCATTAGGAAAGAATGCACACCTCAGTTAATGCAGGTTGTGATCATTGGTTAGTTATTATTACTTCAAGACTAACATCATGTGTGGAACTACAGAAAGCAAAAACTAAGACAGCTTCTGCAGTGAGAAATGCAGACTGAAGGAGATAAAAATGCTGGAGGAGAGAGAGGGCAAGCAATTAGGACCAAATGTTTTGTAAGGGCCCAGCTTCTAGGCCAGCCCCTCTCTTGGTTCTTGCTTCTCCATCTTCATGGAGCTACTGTCTGCACACTTCAAAACTAAACAAACTTTCTGTTATGGTTGTATCCCAACATGGCATTTAAGCTAGACTAAGACGTACCACTAACTCTGCAAATAACACAGTAACTAATTGTACTCTGCAATTACACTACTTCTCAAAATGCTGATGTTAATAAGGAAACAAAAAAAAATACTCTGCTATTTAACAGAGGGAGAAATGGAGGCAAGAGCAGCAGTAGGCAAGGGTCAAAGAAGAAGTGAGAGGGGAGCTCAACAGTCTTTCTGAACATAAGTCCATTTTTTATAAGGGCCCATGGTTCACTGCAAAGATAACAAAGGCCAAGTTTTGCTTTTATAAAGCAGAGAGATTTCAAGAAAATGTCAAATGAACCTGTCAAACCTCAAATGAACTACTGGCTCAGTAGGAAATGTGACATAAAAAATAGGAGGGGAGAAAAAAGGTCCAATAAAGTTGTCTTCAGAAACAGGAGTTCTGAATAATGTATTGCCGGGTAGCTGGAGAGCCCACGAGCATTTGTTTTCTGAACATGGCCAAATTAATCTATTTTCAAATGGAAAGACATCAGAGACAATTATATATTATCATATGTAGTCTGATATTTTCCAGTAATTTCACTAGTTAAACGTCAGTAGAGGTCTCAGAGCTAGAATCAAAGAAAGGGAAAAATGACACTGAATGTGTCAAATTGCCCTGCCTTGCTGAAACAGACAGGCAACTGTGACCACTGAGAACATTGGGAAGGAAAATGTCCCCAAATGGGAGGCCAGCTTGAACAGAGAGATTAATTCTTTTTATTTTGGGAATTTCACAACTTTACTTGCAATTGTGGTGGGTCAACTCTGGCCAGCAGGTAAGCAAGCCAACATCAGTCATGCCTGCGTTCTTTTCCCAGGGACAGGAAGAGAACAGGAAGAAAAAAGGGGCAGAGAACAGGAAGAAAAAAGCAAGAAAATCTGAGAATTGAAAAACAGTTTAATAAAGGAAGAGGGGGAAAAAAAATCAAACAGAAATGGAACCAAGCAATGCAAAGGCAGTAACTCATCACCTCCAACAAACAGACCAATGCTCACGTATTCTCTGAGCAGCCACAAACTTGGGAGACACCCCTCGCCCCCTTTCTTCCTCTACCATACTTTCACTGCTGTGTTTGATGCTGTGTGGTACAGGATATCCCCCTGGCCAATTCAGATCAGCTGTCCCTGCTGTGTCCCCCCGCTAAGTTCTTGCCCCTCTTTACTGGGGAAAGTGGGTGCAGAGTGTGAAATAAGAAAGTTCAGCTACTGTCAAAATGTGGATGTTGGAGCCACCATTGGAGCCACAAATCACAGCACCATAGGCTGCAAAATATTTTAAAGATGGAATATTTTGGTGTGGTATGAATGATTTCCTTCTGCAAATTGCTCAGTCATACTTAGATACTTAGGTATTTACCTGTTGTTAGACATAAATTATTTTTAGATGTTTGTTATTTTTAGTTGTTTACTATAGTTACTTATCTGTTACTAAGTACCTATTATTAGCAGATACTTAAAATAGAGACTCAAATACAAGGTAAAGGCCTTGTCAAGCCTCTAAAGAAGAGAAATGATGCCTTAAGTTTTAGCATTCATTTTTTCCAGACTCTGCTGCCTAGGGGTGTAGTTCTGAGCTTCATATTAAGTGTGAGTAAGCTCTCTTCACAGAGTAGGTGGACAAAACAATTCCTTTTCTAGCTTGAGACCAAGGACAACCTATACAAGTTTCAGGTCTAAGAGCATCAACAATTGTGGACTGAACAGAGCAAACAAGAAGGATGGGACTTCATAATCTGAAGGTGTAATTGGACAATTAGCCCCAACATGGAAATGAACAAAAACTTACGAAAGTGTGAGACCTCGTGACAGGTCATCCATTTTTTTGTACCGGTGACCATTTTGGGTTCATCCTGGGTGTAGCCCTGGCCAGGCTCTTGTACTGCCCAAGGTATATCCATCAAAGCCTTTTAATAAATATCTACTTTATTCTTTAACACTGTCTAGCCTCTGTTCTAGGTCAGCCTTCTCAAGGCATCATGGGAAGCTGAAGCTGTCACAGAAATTAAGCAGAACAAATGGCAAACCAATTTAGAAAAAATATTTTATTCATAAAATGACTCAACATTGGTGCATAGACAAAATATCTTGGAGCTAGATAATTTAGTCCCTGAATACAAAAGTCAGAATAATTTTGTTCTTCCTTCAATACTGAAAATGAAAATAATAACTGAGAAATTATATCCAGAGTGGTGCTGTGAGGCCTCAGCTCCTTGTCTTTGGATGTATAAAATCAAGGTGTCCAACACTTTGTAGGATCACTTCCTATGTCAGGATCATTTAATGAGTAAAGGGTATGTTAACTCTCCTTGAAATAATAATAATAATTATTATTCCAAATAACCATAAAACCTTGATTCTTCAAAACATACATCATATGATGTACGCAGAAACTGTCTTCCTTCACTCTCAAGCAGAGAGGCAAACTTTAATGCAGAAACAATATACATGATAAACATGCAAGTTTTACAAAAACCAGATTTTATATTTTAAAGTTGGACTTCTAACTTCACCAGAACAAAGAAGGTAAAGAACTCACATTAGTATCCATGACATTTTAAAACATTTGCTACCAGTTGTGAACTTTCCTAAGGATATATACATTGCTATCAAACACTGGTAAAGGTAGTACAAGATACACAGGGAATTTCCTTTTAGCAGTGAAGACATGATAACAGTCACCCCAGCTGGATGTCACAGGAGTGACAGGTAAGTCACTCTTCCAATGACATCTAAGAATGCACTGGATACAAAAGTCAAGTCTTTGGTTTTGAAACACATTCAGATATGAAAAATACACCCATTTTCTTTTGTATTGCCAGGGGATTTTCTTCTAAAAGTCCCACTATTGGAAGTTATCTGTACACTTTTCTCCTGAAAATAAATCTAACAACAGTTTTCAACACAGGTATCTTTGTTCTTCACATCTTCAAAAAGGCAACCTATAAAAGGAAGCAAAAAAATACTGTGATTAATTTCAACACTGCAGGTAAAACAAAGATGCTTCTTTGTATCAATAGAAATGATATATTATAATAATCTTTTTATTTAATGACACACTAGTGCAATCAGAAAACAGAGGATGTACTGCTATTTTCCCACCTCTTCTCTACCTAACATGTCTCCAAAAAATTCCCTTTCTTTTTTTTGCTCAAGCACTGCCTGCATTGTAGAACTAAAATGTTTTCTTCCCCCAGAATAACAAAGAATGTTTATCTCATCTAACTTCAAAGGCTATTTGACAGTATTTTGAAACTTGTTTAGATTAAATCTTTGATACATTCCCAGTTTTGTCTGAATATTAGTTTATTTGAACAGTGCTGTTACTCTAAGTCAAATCCTGATTCCAAAGTCACAATGAGAAGTCCAAAGTCATAAAGAAAAATGTCTTACATTTTGAAATAACCAAAATCTTACCAGAGGGGAGAAGACAAATACTTGTATATGATCAGAAGATAGCAAATGATGTACCTCTTCTCTTTATTGCCCTAAGTGCACTGCCTAACAGCTATTTAGAGGGAAGGTGATCTATCAAATACAAGTGATCTATAGGATTTCTGCTGTCCCAAACTCATTTGTTCTTGGTCACATGCATGCAGCAGTTTCTCCTGTATGGTTTTGATTTTGTTTAGCTTTCTTCAGGATATGCAGTATACTAATGCAGAAAGTTAAGTTAGCTGACTGGAAATGACACATCCAGATCCTTATCTGATAAGGAGATTGCTTCACATATTTCTTGTTGATCAAAAAACAGAAAAACAGATGTACAGATGCCTTCGCAAAAATGCAAGAAGAAAGAAAGAAAAATGACTACCAGGTTACACAACTGTCTTCTGAAAAGATACAACCTATTCCTCCTGTCTGATGAAAAACAGACAGAAAAAGAACTTCTGAGACAGACACTTCCTCTTTGTTCTCTGCAAGAGCTTTCAACAGTCACTTAAGTGAAGATTAAAATTACCATCAATTACAACTTTGGATTTTCAGAGATGACCCTCAACCACCACTTTACTTGACGCTGCGACAAAAGAAGTCATGAAGCATGATCAACCAGAAGGAATTAAATGCAAGCATAAAGTATCACTGAGTATTCAGAACAGAGGATAAAACAGAGCTCAAACACTCCTTTTGGATCCTGTGCCCAAAGTATGTTTAAGAGAGTTATATGTCTTCTCTAAAGGATGTAAAAAAAAAAAAAGCAATTTTTAACATATCTAAGATGGTTCTCAGAGAATCAGTCACACAAAGGATTCATGTCTAAATAACACATCTACAAGGCATAAATGGGACATGACAACAATTCTTGGTTAAGAATAGAAAAAAAAATACCATCCAAACTCACTTCCTGAACACTCTTTTGCTACTCTAAGACTAACAGCAATAACCCAGTAGAACACTGCAGTTACTGCATGGAAGAGTTTGTACAGACAACACAACTGAGATACCTGAAATCTTCCACATTTCTAAATCATTCTTCTTCTGAACAGGAACTAAAATTCAGAAACAAAAATTTTCATGTCTTATATTAAACAGAAGGAAGGAATTCTTTATTATAAGGATGATGAGGCATTGGAACAAGTTGCCCAGAGAAATTGCGGATGCCCCATCCCTGGAAGTACTCTAGGCTAGGCTGGATGGGGCTTTGAGCAGCCTGCTCTAGTGGGAGGGGAACCTGCCTGTGGCAGGACATTGGAATGAGATGATCTCTGAGGTTCCTTCCAACCCAAACCATTCTATGATTTAAAGAACATAAATTTTCATAAATGTCTATAGGCAAACCATGCCAACAATCAGCTGGCTGGCCAAGGCTGGAAATTGGCCTGCCTGTCCCATGCAAATCTCACCACACTGACATATGCCCATAAAGTGTTTTTTTCCAGCTTCATCAGCATTTTCTAGCAGTAAGCTGCTACATCAAAATAATTTCTGTCAGCTCAACCAAGGGGTGTTGCAAAAGTTAGAGACTACTCAACATACAGGGAAATTTATCCACTATGCCAAAGATTCCCATCCTCAAAGACAAAAATTGAAAGTAAAATCAATATGCTTGTCACCTTTCTCATGACTTAGTTGCTCAGATGAATAGAGACATAATTATAAGCAAATGTAAAATTTTAGCTCTGTGGAAGAGTCATAAGTTATACAGGCTACAGATGAAACCCTGGCACCAGTCAAATCAAAGACAAAACTCACAGTGACACTAACAATGCAAGAGATTTGTCCTTGCATTGCAAGGAAAAAAAATAGAAGAATCAAGAAAAGCAATAACCATCTCCATACACAAAACTCAAAATTTTAAGCATGTTTTTCTACCTGAGATTGCAGACTCCTTTGCTACACAGTTTTGAAGTGCCATTAGAGTGGATATATTTGTTTAATTTGACTGCTTGCTATATTTTATAATGCATGAAATACACTTTTCTTCTCCTTTGAGAGAGTTATTTGCAACATAATGCTTCCCTAGACTGCTAGGCTCTCCTATTGCCCAATAAACTGAAAAGCAACGAAAGTAATAAATTATTACTGTCTGTGTTTATATTTACTACCACTGTGAATGAAAAGAGCATATTAGATCATTCCTACAGCTGACATACCAGCAAAAAAAAATGCAAATCAAGCTGTTTAAAAACCAACTGCAACCCACCAAAGTACTTCCAAAAAAAATCAACTGAAACGAAACTACTTAGGAAGTTTCACCTTATCCATCCAAAGTTCAATATAAAGCTTATAAAATATTCCTTTATTATACTGTTACTGTAGATGCAGTTGGATATCTCAACAGCAGTAAATTATATGTTCTACATAATAAATGAATTACTATAGGTTGGGAAAATGGGACTATGTGGTTTTCTCGCAGTTTTCCATCTATTAGGATACATTCTCTACAAGATAGACAACTACTAGCTTCTTCCAGCTTTAGTAGCAATGCTTTCAGCAGTCTGCACATCCAGTATTTCTCTGCTGTGAGACGATTTTGAAAGAAAAACAATGTGCTGAACACTTATCTCATCTACAAAGGTTTATTACTAAATTCAGAATAAAAGTCAGTTCTAATCAGTTTTTTTACTGACCTTACCTCAGCACATTGCCCCCTTCTTAAAGTGCTTAGATTACTCCTTCAGTAAACAATAAAGCAGCATCAGCTTTGTTAAAAATCTCTCGGAGTCAGGACAACTTAAGAAATCCAGGTACTGATGCTCAGTTTTAGAAGATGTGCTCTCTTGGCTTTCTCAGAAAAATCATAGAATGGTTTGGGGCGGAAGAGACCCATAAAGATTATCTAATTCAAACTCCACTTACCATGAGCAACCTGGTCAAGTGAAATACATCCAAACACCAAGGAGTAAAAGGTGAAAGAAAACAGTTGCAACTTCTTAAAATATTTTTTAAACTATGGAGACAGAACGAATTTAGAGATAAAAGAAGGTGGTTCCAGACAGCTGAAGCTGGTGAAAAGAAATCTCTTCTACCAAGTGCTAACACTAGGTGAGCAGGCAGAGTGGATGACTGCTGTAAGAGAAGCAGGAGTGTGAGAGAAGCAGCTAAACAACATATTTTAAAGAAATGCAATCTGCAAATCATCTGAGCAAGGAAAAAGAAGTTCAATCTTTGAATCAGCTCCAAGAACCATCCAAGGAGCCGGATTCTTACTTCCACAAAACAGGAAATAATACGTCAAATTTGCATTCCCATGCTGTAACACAAGTTTTGAAACTGTTCTTATGTTGCTCTCTTTTAAGGAGTCCAAGTGAATGGTGCATAAAAATCCCTATGTATGTCTCTCAAAGCTGACAATGAAGGATTTTAAATACCTGTATCTCTCCTAAGAGCTAAATAAACGTATGTAGAAGATACAGAATTTCTCCTTAGTTTTAGAGAGGGAATTGTACTTCAGTTTACTTCTGCATAATTATAAAGGAAAATAGTGGTTTGGAAGTAGTTATGTATGCTTCAGTTTCAGCAGAAGAAGTTAAATCTCTGAATGTTTCCTAAAATATGACTGCTGTGTTTTTTTCCACTGCACAACAAATAATAAAAAACCACCACCAGCTCAAACCTCAAGTTTAAATGTATAAAAGACATTTTACTCTTCTTTGAACATTAGGCCAATTTTTAAACACTACCATGCCCAGTTCCTAATGCTACATCGTGTTTTAGAAGAACACAACTTACATGGCTATCTTAAATCATCTCTACTGCAAGAGACAGTCTGTACATAGACAGATACCCATGCTTTAATCCTGCCCATGTGCTAGTGTGAAATCAGGCGTGATGAAACAACTGCAGAGGAAATGCTGATTACACACCAGCAAGGCTACAGCCTACAATCAACATCAAATGCTGTATTTATTTCCACTCAAGGCTGACAGGTAATCAAGCAATGCCATGCTATCCATGTGCACAGGAAGAGAATAACCTTCCCAAAAAGACAAGGACAGCTGTGGGCAGACCTCTGCTCCTAGATCCAGCAGTGCTGGATGATACTAATCTCACAGGCTCATGGTGTCTCTCTCTGCTGCAAGTTACTATTCCTCTATCCCCGCAAAAGACCACTTCAGACTTTCTCCTACTGTCTGGTGAAATCAGACTGTTACACCAAACTCTGCCCTCTGGTCTGTATTAAATGGAAGGGTTTATCCTAGAAACAAGAAAGGGAGGGCTTGCACAAATTCTGCTGGAAGATCACAGGGGAGAGACAAATCTCTGGTGGAAATGAGAGTGAAAAACTGAGGATAGTGGTATTTTCCACATGTACAGCTGGATTTGAAATATAACACACACTCAAAGCCTCAGACCAGTCTAATTCATCCAGATTTGTACTGCTACAAATGTTATGGCTAGTGCTAAGTGTTATGGCTTAAGCTTTAATAACTACAGCAAGTACAACTGCTTGTGTGGTTGCAATTATATTGCCGTCAAGATGCCCTGTACATAGAGTACA